AGGTTCCCTGGCGGAGGGCCCGGGGAGGGGAGGTGTGGAGACCGCAGAGGCTCTGGAGGACCTCAGGGGGAATGTTCCAGGTGGCCAGGTGGAGGCGCCAGGTAGAATGCCCACAGCCCTGATGCCCGAGGGGAGGCTCTCTTGCTTGAAGGGGGCCTGGGGGTGGGCAAGCTGAGAGCACAGGCCTCCCAAGCAGGCCCGGAGGAAGCAGGGCTTGGAGGTGAGGGCAAGTGCAGGAGAACACAAGAGGACAGGTGTCTGCTCAGGGGCACAGAGCCGAGTGGGGCCGGCTGTGCTCCAGGGAGGTGGGGGCATGAACCCCCATTGAGATGGCTCTTCAGTGGACAGGGGGCTGGGGAGTCAGGGCCAGAGTCAGGGCAGGGGACCCAGCCCCAGCCTGGGAGCTGGGGTGTGAGGAGGAGGAGGCTCCTGAGAGAGGCAGAGGCCCAGCATGACCAACGGAAGTCTGCACACACCCAACCTCAGTCCCCCCCCCCCCCCCCACACACATTCACGCACACACACACTACAAGGGTCAGGGCTCAGAGCACACAGCTCTCATCTTATTTCTCAGGACAGGCTGAGAAGGGAAGGGGCTGTCGGCTTAGCGGAGGAGGAAGACCTGGAGGGAGAGGACAGAGCTTACCCACCAGCAGCCCCTTGCAGACCTAGCCAGGCCCTCAGGCCCTGGGGCTTCTGCCTGGAGACAGAGGTGGGCAGCCGTACCTGGTGGGCACTGCCCCCACCCATGGAAGTGGGTTGAGCTCCTCAGAGGGCAAGGCAGGAATCCCTACCACCTCCATGTTTAGTCCACAGTGGGCTCCACACAGCTTGGGGCACAGCAGAGGGGTGCCCGCCCACACCGCCTGAGTGTGGGGCGCATGCGTAGACTCACTGACACCAGATGACCCGACTTGCCTCCCACTCAGGGACTTTCTGGGCCACGTTAGTCCTCAGCCCCTCGCCCACCTCAGGGAGCCGTGGGGTAATCACGATTCCTTTAGCTGCAAGTGAAAGAAGCTAACTTTTGTTTGTTTTTTAATATGTTTTTTATTGATTTCAGAGAGGAAGGGAGAGAGAGTTAGAAACATCAATGATGAGAGAGAATCATTGATCGGCTGCCTCCTGGCGGTCAAGCCCGCAACCCAAGCATGTGCCCTTGACCAGAATCGAACCCAGGACTCTGCTGTCTGCAGACCAATGCTCTATCCACTGAGCCAAACCAGCTAGGTCGCAAATGATCTTATCTATATATATAAAAGGCTAATATGCAAAGTGTCCCCTCGGGAGTTTGACCGGGAGTTTAATCACTCGCTGTGATGTGTGCTGACCACCAGGGGGCGGCACAGAATAAAGGAAGGCCCTGGCTGGCAGCCGGAAGGTCCTGATCGGCCCTGATTGCTGGTCAGGCCTAGGGACCCTACCCATACATGAATTTCATGCACCAGGTCTCTAGTTTAAAAAATAAAAACCAGAAGAAACAATACTGGGTCAGCAGCTTCAGGGGCCCAGAGACACACCTTGCTGACATCAGATGTCTTTCTCCTTGGCTTCAGCCTTCACACTCGCCCTCATTCTCTGCCTCTCTGGACAGGGGCAGGGGGAGGGCAAAGCTGTACAAAGCCCCTAGCATCTCCCTTCAACACCCATACATAAAACCCTAGAAAACTTTGGCCCAAGTTAGGCCAATCACGTGGCTGGAGCTGGGGGGATGGAGGGGATGAGAGGGTAGGGACTGGTATTATTAGCAGAACCTCACGGAACCCGGGCAGAGCAGGTTCCCAGAGGCAGGGGAGATGTGGTTCCTCATGGGAATGGATGCCGGCAGGCAGAAACACAGGTGTCTAGAATACCCCGAGCTGCAACACGCTGAGGATTGCTCTGGGTGAGTTACAGCCATGTTCCTTTAGCCAAGGGCAAAGGAAGGGTCCTCAGAAACCTGTGCCCACTACCTCCCACCCCAAAAAGGCCTTAAGCTATGTTCCATAGATCAGTAGATTTCAACCACTTTTTTTTAATTACAAAAGATATATTTTATACTGGCATTCAGACAACCAGTAGATATTGTTGGCTCGATCCCCAGTGCGGGGCGTGCAGGATGCAGCCCACTGATGCTTCTCTCTCAGCGATGTTTCTACCTCTCTCTCCCTTTCCCTTCATCTCTCTGAAATCAATAAAAACATATTTTTAAAAAATAAAGTCACTATTTTTACTCACCCCCTTCATGTTTATGTTTTTGTCATTATTTTTTACTCACTGTGTGTGTGTGTCAGTGTGTACCCCTTAATTTACTGTTGTCATTACACATAATCTTCCTACTTTTGCCCTTTAACCTTTGTACTAGTGTTAGTGTTGGCTGATCCACTGCTTTTATTATGTTTGCCTTTGCCGATGAGAATATTTTTTGCAACATTTTGTTATTCGTATTTTTTATTTTTATTTTTTGTTCTTCTTAAGAAGTCCCTTTAACATTTCTCGTAATTCTGGTTTGGTGGTGATGAACTCCTTCGCTTTCTCTTGTCTGGGCTTGATATGCTAAGTTTTGCCATAATTTGTTGCACAGCAACAAAGAACCACCCACCACCTGCCCATCTCATTGCCCACTGCCAGCTCTCCTGTCATTACCATCAGCCAATTGTTATCAGGTGCCTCCCCAGAGCAGGCTCTACTGCAGGGCCCACTGTGAAAAGAACAAATTCGGTAAGATTCAAGCTTTAATTTGCCAAATGCCCAATGAGATTCACATGAGAAGGGCCGCAGGAAGCAGCAAAGGCTGAAGAAAGCTCCAGGCTGCAGTAGAAGACTTAGCCAGCCCAGGGCAAAGGAGAGAGAAGGGCACTGTAGGCAGGGAGAAGCTGGATCAACAGCTCAGGCAAGACTGGCTCACTGCAGTGTGGCTGGAGGTGAGGCCTGACATGGGAGGCTAGTGGCAGGCAAGATGACCAGATTGTGAAGGGCCTTAGGTGCAAAGCTAATTCCTGTGCAACTACCATGATAAATGGGGCCCAATGACCATATCTCTGAGAACGAAACTCCACCTGCTTTGGCTGTAAGTACATTTTTACCTGCCGGGTCATGTGGCTTAGCTTTGGGGCTGAGAAGAAGTTGACTGTGTCAGTGGGGAGCCCCCGAAGGTTTTTGAAGATGATGTGATGTGGGTTCTAAGCGTATCCTGGAGTGATGGAGACCAGAGTCGGAACATGACTACCCAAAAGTCCTGATGTCAGGATCAGGGTAGCAGCAGTGGACACTGGAGACCTGGGTAGATGTGAGATGTTCAGAATGGCTGCTGGGATGTGGTGGGGAGGAGCAGTGGGAGGTGAGGTCCAGTACCCAGCTGGTGACATGGGAACACAGGGAGCTGGCTGAGAGCGGCCCTGGTCAGGACTCGTGCAGGAGGCAAACCAATCGATGTGTTTCTCTCACATTGATGTTTCTTTTCTGTCTGTCTTTCCCTCTCTCTTCCACTCTCCCTAAAAATCAATGGAAAAATATCCTCAGGTGGGGATTAACCAAACAAAAACAAACACACACACACACACACACACAAAACCCAAGACTAAATGGCTCTAATCCTCTTTGTGCCCCAGACCAGTCATGTGACCTTGAGCAAGTCACTTTCCCTATTTGGGCTTGTTTTCCCTTCAGCAAAATGCCAGGCTTGGCCTTGGACTAGATGGTGGCTTTCAATCCTGCCTCTGAAGGACAGTGGGGATCCATAGCTGGTCAGCATGACCTGCCTTCTAAAGCAAGTAGCAGCAGACTATGACTAGCTCCAATTGTAGGGTTTTCTCCCATGACGTTGTCTTAAGCCATTAGCAACCAGCACCGGCACCGTGTGCTTGCCGGGAAGGGATCACAGATAACACAGGGAATGCAGAGTGGGCAATGCCGTGCAGGGGCAAACCTGAGTGGGTGGCCACCGCGCTCCGGCAGTCTCCCTGTTACGGAGACTTCGCGGTGTGGGTGTATATTACACATGCACTCTGCTTCCTGCGGCATTTCAGGGCGCTTCACAGGGGATGCTGGGACTCTCTGGTGCCTGTTACCCAAAGAGACTGGAGAGACAGCGGACTCAGCGCTCTCCAAGGGCCTTTCCACGCTAATCTTTCATTTTCTCAACGAGCATTTCCTAGCTCCTCAGAGCCCATCTTTGATGAACACCTCTTCAGGCACAACTCTGAGTCTGATATTCATTAACTCAGATAATCCCCATAGAATCTTCCCAACAGCTTCACAAGATAAGTACTATTACTATATTCTTTTTTTTTAGTATTTTTTTTTATTGATTTCAGAGGGGAAGGGAGAGGGAGAGACAGAAACATCAATGATGAGAGAGAATCATTGATTGGCTGCCTCCTGCACGCCCCGCACTGGGGATTGAGCCCACAACCAGGGCATGTGCCCTGACCAGGAATCGAACGTGACCTCCTGGTTCTTAGGATGATGCTCAACCACTGAGCCACAGCAGTGGGGTGTGGTTGAACTTTTAAGAGCCAGTGGTCACTGCCACCCTTCCTTTGCCTTCTCTAGTAGGAGTTGCAGAAACACAATGAAGAGCCTCCCTCAGCCTGCCCCTGAGAGAAGATGGTTTAAAACATTTGCCTGCCCTTCCACTCACCCCCTACCCCCAACCCATGGACACAGAGTGTGAATAAGAAATAACCCTGATCCTTTTTAAGCTGCTAAAATTTGGAGGTCGTTTGTTACTGCAGCAAAACCTCGCCCATCCTGAGTAATCCAATGTTATACTATCTGTTGTTGATTATCTTTGGCCTCAGTCCCCAAGCCTGTCTTCTCCCGGAAGCTCCCTGGAAGCACTGGCTCCACACTGCAACTTGAAAAGCAGCAAGAGGAAAGGGAGTCTGTCCCCCAAACAGGGAAGTGGGGATGTGTGCGGGGAGGTGGGCCCAGCCTTTGTCATGCTCTGGGGCATGGGCTAAGCTGGATGAAATCTCCACCAGCCCTGGAGGCCCTGGACAGACACTGCTCCTCAAGCGTCTCTCCCATACTCATTTATTGGCTCTCCTTACTTTTATTCCCCACTATTAAAGCAGGGATGACCAGTCATGCAGGAAGAGGACCGCCCTCTTATGTCCTGGGGGCACTGCAGGCTGACTATGACCTTGCAGGCCTGGATCTGAACCTCCTCCTCCGGGTGGATGACCAGCGCGAGCAGCCGGTCTGCCAGTCGTGACTTTTCCCCAAAGAGAGCTTCATGCAGAGACTGTTCGTTGTAATGCCATTTCACGGCACGGTAGTGTGGCGTATTCCGGCCCTCACTCAGCCGCTCGGCAAACACCAGTACCTCGAACAGCAGACTCCCTGGTTGTTTGACCTGGAACAGGTTCAGAAAGTTGGTGTGCACCTGTGATGGGGATGAAGAGAGGATGGCAATGAAATCCAAGACAACTCCTAAAGTTCTTCCATCTTCCTATTGCCTCAACTCCCTAATATACCTAATTTCAGAGTCCACTGTATGGGAGCATTTTAATTTTCTTTTCATTATCATCTATAAATATAAAAGCCTAAGCGACCGTTATGGCCAAACGACCGGAGGACCAGTCGCTATGACACACACTGACCACAAGGGGGCAGACGCTCAACACAGGAGCTGACCCCTGGTCGTCAGTGCACTCCCACAGTGGGAACACCACTCAGAGAGAAGCCGGGCAGCGGTGGAGCCAGAATGAGACTGCCGCTACGGCACTGCTATATCCCCCAGGGGTCCCAGATTGTGAGAGGGACCCCACTTATGCACGAATCTGTGCACCAGGCTTCTAGTTCTCTAACATAATTATCTTGTGGTCATAAAAGATGAGTTATTTGGTAATAACATTAATTCTAGGAAATATGTCATGACAAACTTTAAGGTTTAATGTGTGGTTAATTTTTATAAATGTTTTGTGTGTTTGAGAGGAAGGTGCATTTACTAATTATAGAGTGTTCTGAGTATGTCTAATACTCAGTGTTCTGAGTATGTCTCAAGCTGGTTTGTGTTATTCCCACCAAGTATACCCTTAACTCAGCGGTTCTCAACCTGTGGGTCACGACCACTTTGGGGGTTGAACGACCCTTTCACAGGGGTTGCCTAAGACCATTGGAAAACACATATATAATTACATATTGTTTTTGTGATTAATCACTATGCTTTAATTATGTTCAATTTGTAACAATGAAAATACATCCTGCATATCAGATATTTACATTACGATTCATAACAGTAGCAAAATTACAGTTATGAAGTGGCAACGAAAAGAATTTTTTGGTTGGGGGTCACCACAACATGAGGAACTGTATTAAAGGGTCACGGCATTAGGAAGGTTGAGAACCACTGTCTTAACTGGTTTTAGGATTTTATCTATTTTTAAAAAAATATATTTTATTGATTTTTTACAGAGAGGAAGGGAGAGAGATAGAGAGTTAGAAACATCGATGAGAGAGAAACATCAATCAGCTGCCTCCTGCACACCTGCTACTGGATATGTGCCTGCAACCAAGGTACATGCCCTTGACCGGAATCGAACCTGGGACCTTTCAGTTCGCAGGCCGACACTCTATCCACTGAGCCAAACCAGTCAGGGCAGGATTTTATCTACTAATTGCTGAAAGAGTACAATCTTCCAAGTCTCCCACTGTGGTAGTAGATTTGTCAATTTTTCTTTATAATTATTCAGCTGTGAGGAAGAAGGAAATCCTGCTAATTTGTGACATCATGGATGGACCTTGAGGCCTCAGCTTCCCCTGAGGCCTCAGAGAAAGACAAACAATACGTGGTATCACGTTTATTTTTATGTGGAATCTTTCAAAAAAGATAAGTCAGGAAGAGGAACCAAGATGGCAGCATAGGTAACCACCTGTACTCACCGCCTCCTACAACCACATCAAAATTTCAACTAAAATTCAAAACCACCATTGCGTGGAACTGCCTGAAAGCTGGCTAAATGGAAGTCCTACAACTAGAGAAGTAAAGAAGAAAGCACATCGAGACTGGTAGGAGGGGTGGAGACACGGAATGGACTAGCCCCGCACCCACAAGGCTGTTTTTTCAGTCGGGAGGAAGATCGTCTCTGCAGAGACTGCCCATGAGAAGCAAAAGGTCCCAGCCCCACACCAGACCCCAGAGCTGAGAAGAGAAGTCCCTGTAACTTCCGGCTTTAAAAACCGGTGGGTATTGTGGCTGAGTGACACGTAAGCTGCTGGAGTCCCAGGTATTCCTCTTAAAGGGCCTGCACACAAACTTAAACTGTCCCACTCTCTGAGCTCCAGCACCAAGGGACCCAGACACATACAGGGAGGAACTGGATAGTCTGGCATTGGGGCAGGAGCTCGAGGGCAGCTTTCTCCCACATGGGAGTGCTCACAAGGGTCATTGTTACTGTGCTGGGACCTTCCCTGTCGCAGGGAGGACTGGCAGCCATATCTGAGTTTCCATCAGCCTGCTTCACACTGTTTGCTCCACCCTGGGGATTCCCTGAGACCCCACCCCATCCAATTTGCAGCCCCACCCAAGCTGTTTGCAGCAGCTTTTCCATATGAATGGCCTGTCCTGGCTCAGGTTTCAGACTTTGCTAAAATCTCTCAAACAAGCTGCAGCTGGTGACAGCATGCCCCAAACCTATCAATAAAAGGCCCAAGACCGGGCACTAGCACCAGCCTGCCTTCTTCACAGCTTGGCCTTGTCTCCTTCACAGCAGTGCTCCAACTGTAGTCACAGCTGGTCCTCACAGCCAATTGGCCTAGAGGTCAACTGCTCCCAGAGATGCCAACAGCAATCAAGGCTCAACTACAAGACTGTGCACACAGCCCACACAGAGGTGCACCTAGAGTACCCAGCTCAGGTGACTGGGGAGGCTGAGCCATTGGGCCCTACAGCACACCTAATACACAAGGCCACTCTACCAATTCCAGGAGACATACTAGCTCTCTCTACCTAATACATAGAAACAGACACAGGGAAGCACCCAAAATGGGGAGACAAAGAAACATGTCACAAATGAAAGAAATAGAAGCAAGCAAACTACTGGATACAGAGTTCAAAACCATGGTTATAAGGTTACTCAAGGATCTTCATGAGACTTTCAAGGATCTTAGTGAGAATGTCAAAGACATGGAAAAGAACCAGTCAGAAATTAAGCATACACTAACAGAAATAGAGAACAACTTATAGGGATTCAACAGTAGAGTAGAAGATTCCAAGAACCAAATCAATGGTTTGGAATATGAGGAAGCAACAAACACCCAACCAGAAGAGCAAAAAGAAAAAAGAATCCAAAAATATGAAGAAACTGTGGGGCAACTTCAAGCGTACCAACATTCGCATCATGGGGGTGCTGGAAGGAAGAGAGAGAGAGCAAGGTATTAAAAACCTATTTGAAGAGATGACAGAAAACTTCCCATCCCTGTGAAAGAAACAGACTTACACATCCAGCAAGTACATAGAGTCCCAAACAAGAGGAACCCAAAGAGGCCCACACCAAGACACATCATAATTAAAATGCCAAGGGCTAAAGACAAAGAGAGAATCTTAAAAGCAGCAAGAGAAAAGCAGCAAGGGAGCACCCATATGACTATCTGCTGATTTCTCAACAGAAACTTTGCAGGCCAGAAGGGAGTGTCAAGAAATATTCAAAGTGATGAATAGCAAGAACCTACAACAAAGATTACTCTACCCAGCAAAGCTCTCATTTAAAATTGAGGGTCAGATAAAGAGCTTCACAGAAAAAGCTAAAGGAGCTCATCACCACCAAACCAGGATTACATGAAATGTTGAAGGGTGTTATTGAAGAAGAAAGAGGAAGAGGAGAAGGAGGAAAGGGAGGGGGAGGAGATAAAAAATATGAACAATAAAATGGCAACAAATACATATCTATCAACAATCAAATCTAAAAATAAAAAACAAACAAGAAATCTAATGAACAAAAGAAACTGGTGAATAAACAGACTCAGAGTCATGGAAGCATGGAACAGACTGATGAATCTCAGAGGGAAGGGGGTGGAGGTGGGGGGAGAGATTAACCAAAGTCCTTACCTATGAACATAGACAGTAGGGTGGTGAAGGCCTGGGGTGGGGCAGGAACCAGGTGGAGTGGGGTGATGGGGGAAAGAGGGGGGACATCTGTAATACTCTCAACAATAAAGATTTAAAAAAAAAAAAGAAAGTCATAGAAACAGAGACAAATGGTTGTCAGGGGTTGGAGGAGGGGAAGTAGGGAGCGGTTGGTAAAAGAGGTCTGAGGCTTTATGTAAAACATGTTGACTATAGTGGATAACACTGTATTATACAATTGAAATTTGCTAAGAGATTAGAACTTAAATGTTCTCACCACTCCTTCCTCCCCAAAAAGAGATGTGAGTGATGGGTGGGAATCCTTCACAATGCATACATGTTAAGCACCACACTGTATACTTTAACTATCTTGCAAGTTTATTTGTCAATTATACCTCAACAAAACTGAAAAAAAGAGAGAAAATTTGTTTTCTTGTAATTCTATCAAGTTTTGCCACCTGTATTTTGAGATTATGTTATTAGGTTCATCTAAATTTAGAGTTGCTTTAGCCCCCTGAACCATTAATTATTATGGTGGTGACCTTATCTATTCCTAATAATGGTTTTTGTTATAAGTAACTCTTCCCTAATATTAAAGTAACTACATCAACTTCTGTTTTGTCACCTGTGTTCCTCATTCTCAGTTTAGAAAGCCCCTCACAGGAGAACCTCCTCCCAACAGAACTGATTCTGATTCTTTCGGGAGGACGGAGAAGGGAGTGATCTTCAGTGTGCCTAGCGCACAGGCAGGAAGAGGAACACCAGTCTTGTCAGGGCGAAGTCTGTCTGGAGAATTCTTCCTTCCCCAGTATCCGAGTTGGCATCCATCAGCCCCTCATCACTGCCTTTCTCACCTGGCAGTTGAGAATATCATAGAGAAGGTCATTCTTCTGTGCCAGGTGGCTCAGCAGTCGTATGGCTTGCACCTAAATGAAGGAAATAGTAACACATGAGAAGGCAGGTGAGTCTGGGCCTGAGCAGAGAAGACACGGTCTCTTCTCCTCCCTCTGGATCAGCGGTTCTCAACCTGTGGGTCGCGACCCCTTTGGGGGTCGAACGACCCTTTCGCAGGGGTCGCCTAAGACCATCGGAAAACACATATATAATTACATATTGTTTTTGTGACTAATCACTATGCTTTAATTATGTTCAATTTGTAACAATGAAAATACATCCTGCATATCAGATATTTACATTACGATTCATAACAGTAGCAAAATTACAGTGATGCAGTAGCAACGAAAATAATTTTATGGTTGGGGGTCACCACATCATGAGGAACTGTATTAAAGGGCCTCGGCATGAGGAAGGTTGAGAACCACTGCTCTAGATGCTGTGCCAGAGCTGGTCAGGAGGGCAGGGCCTGGGCCATGGTCTTGAGGCACCTGTGCCAGGTGATAGTCTGACTGAAGAATCTCCATCAAGGCAGGCATCACCCGTCGCAGCTGCGGGTGCACGAAGTCAGGCAGTGGAAGGTTGTTGAGGAGCCTGAGGCCAGCGATGTGCAGCTCCGAGTCCCAGATGGTGGCTATCAGCTCCAGGACCTTGATGAAGTGTTCCTGGGGCGGGGGATGGGGGGGGGGCAGAGAAGAAGGGTCTGCTTTTATATGATGATCTCACACTACCCCGGCCTCTGCCTTCACTCTTCCCTGCCCCCACCCAGGATGCCTGAGCCGAACCCAATAGAAAATTCCATCTGACAAACTCTCAACATCATTTGACCTAGTTGACCGTTCCCATATTCTTGAGATTCTTTCTTCACTCGGCTTCCCTTTCAGTCTTCTTTCCTGGTTCTTGTGCCCAAGTCCCTCCTCTCTGTCTTCACTCCTTAGTGATACCATCCAGACTGAGTGGAAGTGCTATCCCTATGCTGCTGCCTTTCAAGTTTGGTTCAGACCTCTCCTCAGCTCGCCATATATGCAGGTGCCAGTGCCACCTCTTTCCCAGAACGTCTAATCGAGCCCCGAGTCAACAAGCTCCCAGCCACATCCTGCTCCTCCTACCACCTTCCCTGTCTCAGCTGTTCTTTACGCCTTCCTTCCATTACTCGGGCCGAAAATCTGGCCCTCCTTGACCACTTTCTTTCTCTCACACCCTTTTTCCAGCCCTTCAGGAAATCCTGTGGGCTCTACCTTCAAAATCGATCAACAATCAAGCCACTTCTCACTACCCGCCTTCTACCACCCTGTTCCAAGCCACCGTCTCTCATCTGATTTCTGCAATAGCCTCCGGTCGCCCTGCTCCCTCCACCCCCACCCCCAGTGCCATATCTGTTTTCAGAACAGCAGATGTGTCACTGCGTCACTCGTCTGCTCAAGAGTCCCTAGTTCATTGAGGATAAAAGCTAGAGTCCTTACAGTGGCTTACAATCCGATGCCATCTGCCTCTCTCCCCGTTATTTATTCGACCTCATCCCCTATTCTCTCCTTTGCTTCCTGGTTCCCATTACAATGGCCTCTTAGCTATTCCTGGAACATGCCCGGTACACACCTATTTTGGGGTTTTTGCATAGGCTGTTCCCTCTACTCTCATACCTGACATTCATGGCTCACTCCTACTTCCCTCAGGAATTGAATGTCGCCTCAGTGAGGCTTTCCCGACCCCCTCCTTCCTTAAAACTGCTACACCAGCCCTGGCCCATTTTCCTAGGTGGTTAGAACAGCAGCCTCGGACTGAAGGGTCTTGGGTTTGATTCTGGTCAAGGGCACACACCTCGGTTGCAGATCCCCAGCCCTGGCCGGGGCGTATACGGAAGGCAACCAATCAATGTGTCTCTCCCGCATCGATGTTTCTCTCTCTCTCTCCCCCTCCCTTCTGCTCTTTCTAAAAATCAATGGGAAAATATCCTCAGGTGAGGATTCACCAAAAACAAAACAAACAAACAAAAAACAACTGCCACACCACCCCCATACCTGCCTTCCTTGTCCCCCATCTTTTACTTTTCTCCATCACACTGTCACAGGTGTAACACACTTCTTATTTTTAAACTTTTTATTTTCAAATAATTATAAATTCATGGGAAGCTGCAAAAATTGTACAGAGAGAACCTTGTGCCTTTCACCCAGTTTCCCTCAAAGGTCACATCTTCCATAGACGACATCAAAACTAGGAAATTAGAATTGGTGTGGCGTGTGTTTCGTTCTAGGTCATTTTATCACAGGTGTCAGTTCATGTAACCACCACGGCAATCAACAGGGTATTCCACCAAAATTGTCCCATCACCACAAAGATCTCCCTTGTGGAACCCCCTCTAGTCACACCTCTTCCCACCAAAACCAGCCCTAACCACTGGCAACCACGAATCTGCTTCTTATCTTATAATTCTGACAGTTGGAGAATGTTATAGAAATAGTATCAAACTTTGTGACCATCTAAGATTTTCTGACTCAGTATAATGCTCTTGAAATCCATCCAAGTTGTTGTATGCATCAGTTCATTCCTTTTTATTACTGAGTAATGTTCCGTGGTATGGGCGACCAGTTTGTCTAACCAGTGGTCTACTGAGACTCACTGTGGCTGTTTCATGTTTTACTATTACAAATGAAGTTTCTACGGACAATTGTGCACAGGTTTTTGTGCAAATGCAAGTTTTCATTTCTCTAGGATCAATGCTGAGAAGTTTTTCTAGTAAATTTATAGTTAGATTTTTTAAGAAACTGCCAAACAATTTTCCTGAGTAGCTGTTACACCATTTTACATTCCCATCAGCAATGTATGATAGATCTAGTTTCTAGACATCTTCGCCAGCGTTTAGTGTTGTCACTAATTTGGAGTTTAGATCATGTAACAGGTGTATTGTTGTATCTTATGGTGGCCTGAATTTGCATTTCCCCAAGGGCTAGTGATGTTAAACATCTCCTCATGTGCTTATCTGCAATCTATGTGTCTTCTTCAGTGACATTTCTCCATGTCTTCTGCCCATTTCCTAATTGGGTTGTTTTTATATTGAGTTTTCAAAGCTCTTTATATAACCTAGATATGTGTCCTTTGTCAGATACATGGTTTGCAAACATTTTCTCCCATTCTGTAGCTTATCTTTTTATCCTCTCAACTGGGTCTTTCATAAAGCAAATGTTTTTTAATTTTCATAAAGTCCAATTTCTCAATTCTTTATTTTATAGATCATGCTTTTGGGGTCATTTCTACAAACTCTTCACCAAGCCCTGCGTCTTACAGATTTTTATCCTTTGAAACTGCCACAGCACCTCCATCCCAGCCTTCCTTACCAACCTTCTTGCTTTTCTTTGTCTCGATAGCACTCCATTGTACATTTTATTATTTGTGTATGGCCTGCCTTGCCCTGCTGGAATTGAAGTTCCACTGGTACAGGGGGTCTTTCCTGTTCTGTTCACTGCTCTATCTCCAGTGCCTAGCACAGTGTCTTGGTACGAAGTGCTCAGTATACCTTTGTTGAATGATTAAAGGGATCTTGGCTTCTGCGATGCAAGATGCTGGGACCAAGAGGTATTGCTCAAGACAGGTAACCTCACCAGCTGTACCTTTGTGAGCCACATGATGGGGAGACAAGCATACGGGCGTGAGGACTACAGCATCCCACTAGCACCCTGCTCCTCCCTGCCCCCACCCCTCGCTGTCTGTTAAATTTCAGGCAGAGAGAACAGCAGGTGCAAAGGCCAGGGAGTGGGAGAGCATGAGACATACAGTGCAAATGGCTGGGGTTGGGGCAAGGAGTGGAGCGCCTCAAGGAAGACCACGCAGGAGGGTGATGGGATCAGATCCTCTGGAGAGGGTGGTCGGACTTGGGGAATGGGAACGAGCTCCATTGTCGATGTGTTGGGTTAGAGGGCCACTAGGCCGTCTAAGCTGAGCAGCTGGCCACAGGTCTAGAGGTCAGGGGAGCCCCATACGGCGGACAGAGAAGAAGGAGAGCACATCCAGATGGAAACTGAGGCCAGGGGGTGGCTGCTCTCACCGGGAGAGAGAACAGGGTGCAGGTCCTCAGGATACAAGCGCTGGGGGAAGAAGGAGCAGCGATGCCCAGGGGCTTGTGAAAAACACAGCTCCCTGCTGAACTGGACTCTGGGTGTGGGGGCCCCCAAATCTTCGTTTTTAACCAGCTTCTGGGCAATTCTGATAAGCCTGAGACTCACAGCCTTTGGGAACTGAGAGGGCTGAGGGATGAAGGAGAGGCAACAAGAAAGTGAAGCCCTAGAGACTTTGTTCCCAAAAAAAGAGTTTGATGTAAAAAAAAAAAAAAAAAAAATTAAAGTGTGAAAACAC